GTACGTAACTACAAAAAAAACAAAGTAGTCAACATTCCGTTTTTAACTATACCACAGTGATGGGCAGGAGTCCCAACAGGGACGGGTTCATGACTCATAACCTCAGTACAAACCAGTTTGCAGTCCGGCTCCAGTGGCCGTTTTGGTAAAGTTTTTGGCGATCATCGAAAAAAAACACGCTGCACCTGGAAATTCGACGACTTTGCTACTGTTTGCCGTTGGCAATCGAACACCAATGTTTGTTTTAGGGGGGCGAGTGTGTTGGAGGGCGCTAGTGCATGAACATAAACCATGCCCTGGCCCGAGCATCACATCCTCCCCCTTTGTCATCCCTACCCACGTCGATGTTCCACTTAGATACCGATCTCCGCACTGAAGTGTTCCAACGTCGATCGGCACAATTCAGAACGCCCTTCGTTTTTATTCATTAACTTGTTGAAATTACCCAGTGTCTACCGATTTGATTAAGCTGGCTTTATATTTATTTACTGAAAACTAGGCAGAATCCCGAATAAAAGTGCCCAGTGCCCATATGCTCTTTACTTTGAGACTTATTTTATGAGCCTTTTACACTGTTTTCTTTACTTATCGGATGGATTCTTAGTGAAAGGTGGGTATCCCTTTGCCGATCTACCCAATACACATTACTTAAGAATTTTTCCCATGTTTGCCAAGATTAAAGAGTAGGGTAAAGTCTTTTGATGAGAGAGCCTTTCTGGAATGCGCCCCGCATTCGACTTCCATTCAGAGTCATAGAGGCGTTGTGACATATGCTCTTTACTTTGAGACTTATTTTATGAGCCTTTTACACTGTTTTATTTACTTATCGGATGAATTCTTAGTGAAAGGTGGGTGTCCCTTTGCCGCTCTACCCAATACACATTACTTAGGAATTTTTCCCATGTTTGCCAAGATTAAAGAGTAGGGTAAAGTCTTTTGATGAGAGAGCCTTTCTGGAATGCGCCCCGCATTCGACTTCCATTCAGAGTCATAGAGGCGTTGTGAATGTGTATGTGGGCTATACAATGGCTACAGCCGATGTACAAGTTAATGAATGCTTCATCCTCCCAAACAAGTCTCGTACCAATTAACCAAAGATGGATGGCATGGTTGTCCGCGGCGGATATCGATCCTGGGTCTGAACCCGTATCATAGTGCCCCACTTACCTTTTCATCACTTTCCCTTTTTCTACAAAATACTGAATAGAAGCTCACCTAAATGGGTCCCAATGGTGAAAGACTCGATATATACTTTTAAGCTCTTCCTATAGATTCCCTTCAAATTTTTTACTTTTCATAGTCACTTTTCAAAACAAATTCATATGAACTGAACCAAATTTTCAATCGTTCACAGGAAGAATTGGTGTGAGGCTTGTCTGACATGCAAAGCTGATTTGTATCACCTGATTTTCCTGCATACGGGTTTTCAAAAACCGTCACAAAACCTGTATGTATTTGACTTCTGCATAAATACTCAAACAAATAACCTTTTTTTCCAGAAAAACCGACTTCACTTCCATAAACCCCTGTTTCTGGGACGAATCCATAGAAAGCATTACTTGCTAGAGTTTAATCTTGCCAAAAGCCGCCTGGATTCATCCTTCTAAGTTAATAGGAACTTCTCAATGTCACGAAAAATGCACTATTAAACTTCCCATGACCTTCCCCCATGGTCCAGACCCCTGTTTTCGTCTTCGTGATTTATCCCTTCAGAAGCATCCACGACCGACGATTTCAAATAAAAGTGCAAAACGACGCAATGCTAACCTCTGGGGCTAACTTCCTATCCGCACTTCTATCTTGGTATCCCATCTTGTGGTTACTCCCTTGTCTTTTTGTTGGTATAGTTGTGGAAAAAAAGAATTTAATTGGGTGAGAAGTGGTTAGACCCCATTCTTCCCGGTATTCACCCAAGCGCGTTGAGCGTTGAGCGTTTCTCTTCTAGTCTATCCTCTATTACTGAACAGTATTACGGGTAACCTCGAAAATTATATGCATAATTCTTTTACGTGTCACTTAAGCTTTCCATAGTTCTTGCGATTTTATGTTTGCCATCAAATGACCGCTTCCGTTCATCAATTATTGCCTGAACTGAAACGAGGGCAAGGAATGAAGGCTCCACCTTTTCCCTTTACCTCTTAAGTATCTTAGAATGGAATGGTTATTCTTCAGACGTACCTTTTTCAATGACTCTTGAAAATCCTTGTAACTATTGAGGGGAAAGACCTGTATCCATCACTACAGGGTATGGGTAATCTCCGGGAAAAACACTCTCCAGCTTCACAGTTGGATTGCTGCTACTCCTACTTCCTTCAGAGAATAAATCTCGTTTAAAGGCACAATTTTCATGAATCTACCCGACAAATACCTTCGTCACCTGGATTCTCACACAGATGGGAGAGGTGGAAGGGATGGTCCTCACTTGCTATTCCTATCATGACCTTTGTTATGAATGTTTNTTTGAGCGTATCGACTTTTTCCAAGCCATGCCAGTTGTTTTGCACGTTTTTGGTAAAAACAAACTGGGAGATAGCCATTGATTTCTGTGCGGTACTGAGCCCAACAATCGAAAAAGTTATGATGCTGATTCAGCTAGTTCTTCTGCTCTCTATGGGCGAACACCGCACTGACACCTCCCTTGTGATGTTACTTCAACCATCATGCTTCTCCCTAATACTCCCTTTTCTCGTCTGGATCCCCCAAGTGAAGGGAAAGGAAGGAACTGAAGTAGTCCTTGAGGCGCTATCATTGCGCTTATGAACAGAAGAACGAATCCCCTTTCAAGGCTCACTCGAGGTATTTAACATTTCAGCTCTCCATGACCGATCAAATTGTTTCTAACCAGTGTGGGAGGATAGTGCTTCGAATTCCAGTCAACTACTGTCAAGTGGGGTTGCACTATATGCCTCTTCAAGCTTTCAGCTGTAGTTCGTGAGCAGTTCTCGAAACACTGAGAGCCAGGCGGTCACTACAAAGAGTTGAACATGACACAAGAACCTTTCGCGAAGGCGGCCCCCAATCGTCCGCACGTTCACTGTTTATCTCGCTTATCACCCTATGAGAGGTTCTTGTCATTCCGTGCATTCTGCTTGGGGTGTAACGGCAAACACACTCGCCTCGAATGTGCCGAGAAGACATTCAGGTCCAGCCTGGAAGCCGCAAATTTGAAAAAAAATCGCTCAACTATTTGTCAATATTATTCTTAGAGTACAATTTGTTCAGCAACACCATCTGAAAAAGCTCCGACCGGGAAGTCTCCGGTCCGTGTAATCTTGGGTCCTTTTGGAAAATTGAGATCTCACCTGGAGAACGTGCATTTCCAGGCCTTTGTTTGGTAGCTTGATGCCAAGGTGGCCTCTTTTGTTCCATTGTATACGACTATTCTAAAATTCTTCAGTTTATTCCGGAAATTCTGCCGAAACTCTGAGTAAGAGGTAGAATATGTCAGGATTGACTAAGACTCGGGTGGTATTGAAGGTGTCGCCAGGACCCAGCAATTTTTTCTATACCACCAAGGGATCAAACCTCGTCCAGGCCACCCACATCAACCACTCTCCGAGGTTTGACGAAGTTCTATTGCATTCGTCTGCCTAAGTGAACCACATTTGACGACTGTGCCCACTCAATCATTATAGAGCTGGAGAAGCTTCTTAACTCTCAGAGCTATCTTATGCAAGTGGGGAGCACGAGGTATTCCGTAGGGCCATTCACATAGAATACCTCAGATATGCTCCTGCCTCTCATATGATACTACCTATACTTTGAGGTAAACAAGCAATTAATTTCATTAAAAAACTTGGAAACTGGTTGTGAAACTTTCGAGAACTGATTGCTCCTTTCTTTCCTATTGCAAGATGGAATGAATTCCTCATTCACTTTTTTCTAAGAAGTGTTACCGCTCATAACTTTCTCATTTATTACTATTTTATAACCAATGTCACAGTGAACTCTCCAATTGCTGCATGTGTGTTTAGCCCAAAAAACCCAAACGAATGGTTCTATGATACATTCTCTGTAGCAGGCAGAATGTTGATACGTCTGTATAAACAGCGAGCTATTCATTATCTTTTCCCCTGACGATGACAATAGTTCATTTTTCTGGTTTTTCTATTTTTTTTTTTGGAATTTTTGATGATAGACGAATTCTGAATTCCCACTCGTAAAGAGTAGGAGGGTGGGAATGACGAGAAAAATAATATTATTTTAAAATTATGTGTTCAAGTATTAATATTTTTAATTTCACATCAAACTAATGGAAAAAATTTAAATAATTTACAATTTAGAGCAAAATAAAAAAATTACAAAAATAATTTTAAAAATTTTAAACAGTGAAAGCGACAGCCTTTGCTTACTATCTCCAACGAATCATTGATCATTTATGTGCTGTTATCACTTGTTATCACTTTGTACTTTATACCCACCATGTCACTGTCAATATCTCATCCCTGGCCCTATTCGAAGACTTACAGTTGTATATTTATTTATTTATATCCACTTATTTTTATGTAAATTAAAAGCTGTCATTTTCATCTAATAGGTTTACTCAGAGGCCTATATTCACTTGTTTATTTACTGAAAAATATAAGTTATATGTGATAGGCTACTTAAAGGGGGCTTTCGAGTGTAATGTTACAGCTTTATCTCAAACAATTTCGAAAGCAATTATCAGTGTGAAGTGAGGGAGGTGGATTGAAAAAGAGCATCAGTTAATGATTCCCAGATTTCGATGTTAGTTGATGCTTATTTACCTATTATTTATATTTATATTTACTTTTCTTCTGCAATACATTTACATATTTCCTTTGTTTTCTTTACTCATTTCTTCTGGCTGACCCCAATTTTCCTCTGACATGTTATTATTGGCTCGTTTGCAGTACTAACTTGGCTTATTCGAAATATTACTAGTATATTACAAGTTGTAATATCTATATTCGGGTACTCGAGTGTAACTGACAAGGAGTTATTCGATGAGCATTTGGATTTTTCAGAAAATCACCTTGATGGACGTACCCACAACCTCCACGGAAAGCACAACAGACCCTACGACTACGACTCACGAAAAGGTTGGTGACGATTCCAAGGCATAAAGGCGATTAGATTTGAAAAATGATCTCTTTCAAATCGACGGCCGGCTTGAGTTAACGTTTTATTTATTTTATTTTTGCACGTTGAGAACCTGAATCATATTTTAAATGGTTTTTGAATATTTTTTCGTAGCCGTTTTTCGATAATGGCTTCACTGGTTTCAAGTTCGAAGTTCATCTTAACATCAAAATCTTGATGAGTTTTGATTTTCTCGAAAAATTTTGAAAAACTTTGATTTTGGAGTGAGCTAGGTGACGGTGCTTCAAAAAAAGAGCCTGGCTTTTTAGTTTGAATGCCTGAATTTTTGGAATCGATGATGAAGACTGAATTGAAAAACAAAACAATTGTAAATTAGCAATTTCAGACCAACGAGGAAATACTGCATGATGTTGCCACTACATTTTGGTTAATATTTATTTTCTATGTGTTCGCTTCAGTCGCCTGGATAGCTTACTGTATTATATCGTATAGAAGGTGAGTCAATCCGAAGAAGAGGTTACTTTTGAAATAAAAAATCATTGTGAACTTATGGGGTTACTCCGCATAGGGTTGGCTCTATTAGGTAGAAGTAGGATAATAAATCTTCGACGAGTATGATTTTTGATAGCAGCGCTAGGGAAAGGACCAAAAAATCTTTATGCACCAACCTAATTACCAGCTCTCCTACAGTAGCTTACCTACAGTGTGGTGTATGGAGCCATGTAAGGGATCGTGGGTTACCTGAAAATAAGCTGTGTTATAAGCAAACAGTTGAATTGAACCAGTACAAGCAAACAGTACAAGGGGGTCCCCATATGAATGGATTTAAAATTGATTTCAAATGGTATTATTCGGCCTGGTTTCTCTCCGTAGTTTGTAGGAAGATAGTTAATCCAAAAAAAATCTTACTGGGTACATATAATCTTTCACTTTTTCAGAGACTTAGAAAAACTTAAAGTCACCGCTGAGAAAAATGGTATAGCTCGATATTTAGAGTTAAGGTGAGTGGTGTGCGACAGCCACTTTGTTTCCTTCGTTCTTTTACTTTTTCCTCCGCCATTTTTTTCCTAAAGCTTTCGCTATCCGAAAAACTCATAGTTTCTACAAGTACACCTTTCGAAATTGATGAAAATTTGAAATACTAGTTTTCAATCTCCTTGTGGACCCTAACCGTGGGCGTGCAATACTCCTAAATCTGAGTACTTGATTGACTTGCACGATGACCCGCAGTGATCATCTGCAACCAAGTGTCAGTTCCGTGAAGCTAGCCTCTTGGTTGGTTGACGATTGATCAAGACTTTACGCCAAAACGAAGTGGCGAGGGATCTAGCTAAGGCAGCCATCTCATGTTTGGATCACGTGAGACATCTAGCTAGCATTTGTCGCGTGTGGTGAGTGGTGGGAGTTCCTCCCACACACCCCTCTTGTACTATTACTGGGTTAGTTTAGGAAGAAAAAGTCGATAGGGACACGCATATGATCAAGAGGCTATTCACTAAAGCCCAGCCCCACCCACTCCCACATTTCGGCTACTCGAGCAAAAGTAATCTCAATTTATTTCACCCTGAAAGCCTCAGTGTTTGATCACTACTCTTTTAAGGTGACTTTGAGGGATACTCTGCTATTACCTACACTCACAGTTTGGTAATTGGAATGGAGTACTTAAAAGTGTGATTTTCAGGAGGCTGCTTAAAGCTTATGACAGTGTCGATATTGAAAACCTTCGATGTAGTGTAGACGATGAAAGTGTCACAGAAGTCTCCTGACGTTTGGCTGAGGTTACTGCCGTCGAAAAACTCAATTTTGAAAATTTTTATTCGCGTTGAAGTTTTGCATTTCAGAAAAATTGATTTTAAAAAATCAAAACCAATGCGGGACTACAGAACAGGGACAGCAAGGAAATGTTTCCTACGTGATGTGACGTTTCCTGGCGTTTTCTTTTTGCCAGAAAACACATTTTACCGGTGCCTAGTGTTACAGAGACTATAATAAATATTTATTGCAACTGTTTTGGAAAACTGTAGCCGACTAGGTTCTGAACCTACCAAATTACAAGACTGCATTACAAAACTTTTGATGTGTTACCGCAAAGACAGGATCAAAATTGACGGGAGACCTACTCAATGTGTCCCCGCTGCTTGAATTCACAGTCCTTGAGGAAATCTCCTCAGTAGGAGCCATTCGGCTCCTGTCAGATATAGCAAATCCATGGCCCTAAGCCTACAGGAAATGTCAAACTACTGGCTACTATGGCGAATATTTTGAAGCTTTTTTTGTAGAACTACACGTCCTTCTGCATCGACCAGAGCATTCTTAGAAATGGCATTCTAACATTATCGCCAGTCTGTCAAGATATCATAACTATAAATGGAAAGTATTTCATCGAGTAAATTTGACTCTGCGTCATGAGCAAAAACCTATTGTGAAGGCGAGGCCGAGGGCAGTATCTGCAGTATAGTGTAGAGGGCGATGTTCAGAAAGCACAAAATGCGGGGTTCGAGCCCCGTCCGAGGCAAGCTTCTCGTCTATGATTCGCGTTGTGAGACCACCATAATAGTTCTTTTCATATTTGGTGAAAAATATACAATCTAGTAAAATAAACAAGTGGCTTTGATTCAGATCGGACAAGCTAGATCAATAAATCAATTAGGTAACTTGCAGCTATCAATGATATGAAATCAGAAATCATTTATTTTCTGAAGAATGAGTTCCCAATATAGTTGGCGAATCGACGATAAATGCAGCTGGACTACGTCACTTGAATGTTACGAAATTCTCACCTAAAATCAATAAATTTCTGGCACAATTTTTGCGTACAAATAAAAAGAAACCTACGTCAGAGTACTTTAATCGCAACATCTTTTCCAGTTCAGCAACGTGCTCCCGATCTCGTGTTTCAACGACTACTTTGACCTGAAGCATTCAGGAATTCAGGGTTTTTCCAAGAAGGCTGACCCATGGAAACATCCACCTAGTTAACATCATACTAAAAAAAACTGGCCTTCACAGAGAACACATCAGTTGAAATCCATGCACGTTCGTGGAAAATGTCCTTGATACTTGCTCCCATATGGGCGATCCTAGTGGCCAGTTCGGCAATACCTGAACAGCTCAATACACATCGTATTAAAGTTCCTTTGAGGATGCCGATATTTCGGAGGAGGGATCCTATTCGGGTAGGCTCAGAAGAGTACAGTGGAGGCTATTAAGCTCATGAGCGAGCAGTCCTTCCAGAAAATTTCAATAAACACTGAAAAATGACGTGGAAGTTTACCTCCAGGTCGATCCGATACCAGTACTTCCAGTCGAATTAGGCGACCGTCGACAGCTAAACCTCTGTCGATTGTACGGCCCAGTACAGTTGTGTCGATATTTCCACCAGTAAGTAACGATACGACTCTGAAGTGAAAAGCGTCAGACAGCCTTCTACTATAACAACGACAACATGGTAGTTTACACTTCAGTCGATATTATTTGCTTATTTATCTTCAAGGTGATATGGCCAAAAATAAAGTTTCCTTACACCCATCATTTCCATCTGTGGTGAGCCTAGACACTTAACTTTCATATGTTCAAAGTTTGAAGATGCGCGCAGTCTGAAAACCCCAGAAGCCCAATACGTGCCGTTCCTTTCCCCTCTCAACACTTCGGCTCATAAAGTATCGGAAGAGATTCAACTTTTAGCTCGAAAAGCGATATTCTAGCCCGTACACGCTTAACTTCATTCAGAACCACCCTAAAGCCGCCATACTGGCTGTGAGATTGCTTTTCCGAAAGAAAACAGCGATGCCCTACTTCTTTCCTTCAAGTCCTGGAAGTTTGCCAGTCATCAGAGCTGCCAGTCCTACAGCACCACCACCTTCCACAACTGCCTAAAATCGAAAAAATCATTATATACACATTTATATATTTCATCATTCTCATAAGGAGAAGTAGAGGGTTTTGAAGATCGATGTCGAATTCTTGCCTTTTCCATTTCGACAAGCCTTAGGATACTGAGAGCCGTTTCCTCTTCTGATATCACTACATGACGATCGAACAGGCCTTGCACAGTGTACAGAGCGTTTACGCCAACACATGGTACAGCAAGACCTTCAAAAGACTTGCATACCACTTTCCTCCTTACTCTGAGAATGGCTTAGAAACTAGGAATATGTGTAAATTACCGTCTGCCAGGGTGCTTCGTATGTTCACCTTAACTGGCTTTCCAGCTTTGAGTGCGGCTTGGAACGACGGACACGTATCTGACTCGACACCCTGCAAAAGAACTTATCGGTGAGTTTGCTCTGTCGTAAGCCTCCCGAATGCTCTATATGTCACTGGGGGCCATAGTCGCACAAGACCTGAATTCATCTTAGGCGAGAGAAACAAGAAACACAAATAGGCACAGGTTCCCTATTTATCCACGACGATCTTCCCGGTTAGCCATTTTTCAACTGTACGGCCGTGCCAGCAAGAACGACGTTTAGGGAGCTACTTCAGCGCCCTTGCGGTCTTCTTGAGGTTTGCTGTTAAGATTGCGAATTCCGCATAATAATATGGACTTGTCATCAATTTTTTTGCCAAAAAGCATCAGGTTATGGTAGGAAAAAACATAGAAACTTACAATAATTTCAACTTGAGGCTTGAGTTTCTTCACAGCGACAGCAATACCGGCAATGAGACCAGCACCACCAACCGGAATGAGGATGGCGTCCACGTCGGGGACCTGAACGTTGAAATCTTTTCACCTTTTCAGGATTTCCTGATATGCTGATCACAGTATGCTTATTTCCCACTCCAAATAGAAAGAGAGAAGGCGGAGATGCGGAGGAAGGGGGTGGGGAGGGGGAAGCGGTGGGAGAAGGAACGGGTCGAAGTGAAATGAACAATGTTTGAGCAGTAATTTCATCAATTCAGCTATCGGCACATTTAAAGACTTTGCTTGAGGGTGATTGTAAGCAACCGTACCCTTTCTTTCATCGGAAGACAGATGGGTTTGGGCCAATTGTCACTGACAACTCCTCTCCTATACTCTCAAGTCGAATTTTTCACAAAATTTTCATTTTTAACCTGTTCCAGAATCTCCAATCCGATCGTGCCTGCCCCAGCTAGAATATTTGGATGATCGTAGCCGTTGATGTACTTGTACTTCTTTTCTTTCACTAATCTCATTGCATGATCTTTTGCCTAGAAAACTTTGCCATTATATCAAAAAGCTGCCCAGGAAAACCGAACCAAATGACCTACCATGCCAATGTCATCTCCTTTCAGAATAATTGTTGCTCCAAATGAACGGCACATCCCGATTTTCATCAGTGGAGCGAATACAGGCATCACTACTGTCACCGGAATGTTCAGCTGCTGACCATGGTAACATAGAGCAAGTGCATGATTACCTGAATAAAATAGCGTTATAGCTCACTTGCTGAGGTATGACATCAGTTTCGATCTGCTCACTGAGGAGCCATTAGTAGCTAGATAACCCGCCGCTCGCTATGTTAGTTGCCTAGATTCAGCTCGGAAAGGGACTCGCAAAAGCTCGCAATCACTCCCATCCTATAGATGATTCCGAAAAATGGACGAGTTGGACAGGCTTCCTGTCTGTGCTCTAGCACTACAGCAGAAAGAGTGATTGGAACCCGTGTAGGTAGCCGTGACCGCCCTAACCACTGTGCGCCTCCTAATGGACGTGTCACAGGGGGCGTCTTGGAATATTGTCGTGTCGTCTATGCTCTCACCTCACTTCTTCATTCTAGGAGGTCCATAATGGGTAGTTTGACACGTCCCTCCGAGGCGGGCCAGCAAAACTCGCCCAGCCCTCCTCCAAACGGACGTGTCAAAGGTTGTGGATGTAGCGCCTTCCTATTAGCTCTATGCCTCCTAGTTCCAATTATTATTCGGTAATCTTGTTTAGTCTTCATAAATGCTATTTTTAATTACCCGTTTTTAATGGCCTTCTCTGTCTGCTTCTACTCTGAGAGCTTGAGCGCTACCCAATTCGTATTGTGTATCTTCTTACTCGAGTAAATCATCTGCCCACTGCCTTTTATGAGAATTATATCGAAGTTGAGAAAAAAGTCTCAAAAAATCTCTTCTTTACCGGCACTAGCCGCTATAACTCCGACTTTCTTTTCCTCAGGGCTCAGTTGCATCAAAGCGTTACGAGCTCCACGTTCTTTGAATGAACCAGTCACTTGAAGGTATTCCTTCTTGAAGTACAATTCCATACCAAGCATTTTTGATAGATTTGGCGATTTCTAAATAAATCCATTAGCAAATTACCAGTTTAATTGTTGTAACGATAAAGTGACTCACAGCACAGGGAGTTCGTATGACGCCATCTTTGACGTTGAATGCAGCACTGGAGATTTCGGCAAAGGTGATCTTCTTGGGATGATCAGGATCGCAATCAGGATCCTTTGGAAGGATCTCCTCTAAAGTACTTCTTTGTATAACAATGAAGATGAGCCGAAGAGTGCAATTATATTATGTTTTAGAGAGATTCTGGTTTCTGCTACGAAGAGGTCCTGCTAGGAGGAGGTCCTGATAGGATTATCAATACTAAAAGGAAAATTATATCCATTTCTTTAGCAATATAAAGAATCTTATGATAACTTATCAAAGAGGATTCCATCGAAGTGATATACGGCACAAAAAGGAAGTGATACTGTAAGTAATCACGTGGCGAAAGAACTTTCTAGAAATGTTACCAGCCTTCTAGAAGTTTCTTAGAAGGAATGTAATCAATTCATATCGAATAAGAGAAGTATGACAGAAAGAGGATCGAGATGACTTCAAGTATGAAGTACACCATATACCCGGACCAAAATGTAGAAGCTTACTTCCTTTGAACTGATTGTCAATAACAATTTCCTGAAGCTATTGGCTGCTTTGAGTTTGACCCCTTTGAAGAGAACAGTTTCAACTAGTGCCTTATCTAGCTCCAGAAGTCGTTAAAGCAAAATGCATAAACGGATTTCTTTGAAAGTGGAACATGCAACTCGTCGGGGGCGTGGGCGTATCTCCCGTTTGGGATGGACGATCGCGAAGATCTTCATATTTTATTTTTCGATAAATTTGTAAATCGTCGGAGGCGAGAAGTTCGACATTTCAACGTGAAGTTTGAAAATCAGAATCAGATTCTACCAAATTCTCTGAGGGGATAATTTTTCAAAATGGCCGACCAGCAAAGGAAACATGCCGCACTGGTTTGTTAATGAGTGGGAAATACTTCAAATTCGAAGTAGCTTCTTGTTTCAAGGACCTTTCCGCTCACGATGCTTAATTAAGAGATTTACTGAGCTCACTTTCTTGTACATCATCAACGGGCGCCTTTTTGTCTGTGTTCTGCATAGTCGCCTGATCCAAGAACTCTTTACTGATTTTTCGTACCTGAAAATAGGTTTTGTTCGTTAACACTAGAGCTTAATGGTGAGCGTGAAATCCCTGACACATCTATGACTAAAGGTTCAACAGAATCTTATTAAGTTTATAGATTAATAGGCTGTCAGGGCCGAAGGCGAATTTTTTGCGCGTCAGGGTAGACCCTAATGTAACAGAGCATAATGTCGGTGCTACAGCCTTATTATCAGAGAGCGGTAGGGCAAGAAAAGTAGAAAATCCTAGAGTGAGAAACAAAGCGTAAAGAAGAGTAACTATTTGAACGGACCGCAAACGAATGTCGAGCCCGTATTCTATGGAGCAGTGTCGCTTGTCTTGTTTCAGAGTGCTTTTTGAAAGGATTCTTCTGATATGGCATATTACGAACGCCTTGATAAGCCCTAGTCGCTTTTTGAAACTACAAAAAATACCCGAATCCTCCTTGATTGCACGTTCCCTCAAGTGCCTTTCGCATTTTCATGGACACAGACTGTCCCGATTATTTGGGAGAGAAATCGAACAGACAAATATGTGAGCGCTTTGTTCCCTAACAGATTCGATTATTGGGCACGTGCTTTTTCTTTCAACAGTGGGGCAAGAAGGGGGTCTTCTTAGAAGTAAGGCAGCTGGTAAAAAAAGAAAAGCACATCAGTTCACATTCAGCGTGAAGTGCAATGAAGTCACACCTACCCCATGTGGAAAGAGCCATCTACGCATTTCTATTTCTTTTAAAATCCCTTATGCTCAGAAATGTCTGAAAAATCATTCTATATCCAGTTGTATCAACTTTATGTGGGATGAGGAAGGCACTGTAATGGGTACAAGACAAGAGTTTCCACTACGGTCAACCCATGTAGTAAAGCTGGCTCACCTGCATGTCATCCAGGAGTGCCGAAACGGCACTGGCACAACACTCAATGGCTGTTCATGGAGCTGATTCAATCATAACTTGGCCTGGGTCGCTCAGGCCGATTTTGATAGGCTGATTTGGCTGCTACTATGAACTCTATGACACATAGAGAACTGCTGCGAAATGCAAATTAATTAGAAAAAAGGAAATATTCCACCGCGGCATTTATGGTCCCTTCGTACATCTCTTATTGTACCGATGCCTCATATCGTCTGTCGCGACAAGCCGACAGACACATTGTTCCCTTGTTCTCCAGAAAAAAAGCAAAAAATCTGGCAATCACGAGCGTGTGCTTTAAATTTAAATCAAAAAAACAGCTTATACTTTTTTCAATAAAGTGAACTCTATCGGAATTGCGCTTTTGGGGCTATTGATAAAACGGATTCTCGTGGTACCATTCGCCTAACGTTGAAGGGGCCCCCGTACAGAACACAACAAACGTTACTTCCAATGTGCGACAAGTTAAGCTAATTCATCGCCTCCAGCTTGGCAGTTCATTTTCCTTACAACACCTACGTAAACTTTTTTGAAGGTGTGTACAAGATAATCCTCCTTCCTCCCTTACTATTTGGTACCACTTGGAGAGATTTGATTTCTAGTTTTTTTTTTCATGCTCTGAAAAAGGCAAAAACGCTGAAACTCTGATGACGGAAACAGTTTTGAGTGTGTATGCTGGTAAACCATGTGAATTCGCTCTTGGCTACTCCCAGGCTCACCAAAAGTCGAATTTTCGAGGGGATTATACATATTTTTTGAGGTTTCTAAGGAATAAATGCATGAGTAGTTGAATTGCTTCACGAAGCAGTCTTCTAGATACTGTATCCTCACCATTTAAGCGGATTCTGAAGAATTCATGATTTGATATTTACCACTCGCGACTAACAGAGTTCCCGTGGATATTATCTTCATCATACCTCCCTTTGCCTCCATGTAATCCATTCCCGCTCATGACAGTCGCTCATTTTTCCACATCTACTCACACCTCCAATTTTAACTCGACTTACTGCTGTAAATCGGAACAGCGGAACAGCTGTAAATCGAAGGTTTTTGCTTTATTCAGCTGATACCCAAATTTTTCAAAATTTGTGAATTATTGGCTGTCTACGGGAGCTACCACCAAGCGCTATCACTTTATCGGTTGCTATAGCGGAGACAGAGTAGTTTTTCAACTCAAATTCCATCACAATCAGTTCGCAACCCAGTCACACTCCTCTATAAATATCTTCGTTCTAATAAAATCGAGTTGTAAGCCAACCTTCTTGTTGTATTCGAGTCCATCATTGACATCGCTGGTAGTACGTCGTCGTTCGCTCTTTATGCGTTGATTGTTCTTGTTCAGCACCATATTCTGAATGAAAGAATTTTGATAGCATAGCGAAAAAAGAAACAAACAATAGCGATAACCTATCAGTAACAATCAATACGTGTGGGATTATCAGCACCCAAATGGTAATAAGAAGGATTACTCACGGTAGCTGAGCTTCACGCTGTTGAACTCATCTACTGGGCTGGCATAAAGAGGCAAAAGGCCAGAGAATGAAGGAGGCCAACCTACTCTCTAGTGCAGGACGAGTGTTGTAACAATTTTCATGGTACTAGTTTGTTGCTCAAAATAAATAAAATTGGGGATAAAAATTCAGTGCCAAAACTGGAATCCATGAAAAGAGCGATTCCAATCAGAAGAGCAACAAACTGTTCTGGGAGCCTGATGAACTTTCTCAAAGACAAAAAGAGGCGGTCTTTTTACACGCGTACTGTTGCACTCTAAGCTCCACCCATTCAGTTCGTATGCGGGTAAATATAGAAAGGCTAGTCGCTTGAAAGGCCCCTAAGCGTATGGAATTTGATCGATCGTGAAGATTACTTGGCTTGTTGAAACCTTTTTGGGGTCCTACGGAACCAAGAAATTATGATATCATTGATAGATTGGTGGAATCCGGTGTGATTAGCTTGGTTTTCTAGTGCATCAGTGGTCTTACGGTGGCTACAGATGCGTATGCAGATAAGTGCATTAGAGAGTTTTTCTGGAAAGTACCCGTGCTGATCCAGGAAAACACTCTACTATACTTATCTCAAGTGTGGCAGCTAGTATTACTACCACTTGCACGGCCTTTAACCCAGTTTATGATCATTAATATAGGTCTTTCGCCTCCTTTTTAGCTGGAAACAGGAAGATAAAATGAAAGGAAACTCTTCGTGCCCAGGCTTTGCGTTACCCTTGCATAGACAAAGTTGATTGGAATAAAGGCGAATGTTTAGTGGTTCCTGTGATTTCATACAAGAGCCCAGTTATCAACGTAGTCATACAGGGTCGTACAGGAACGAAACCCAAATGCATGGTTCATCCCAACTTTGTCAGTCAAATTTAGAGTTCACCGAAATCAACTGTGTAAACGAAGATGGTCCTTCAAAAAAANNAAAAAAAAATGGAAACATATTTCATGAAGATGGATAACATCAAAGCCGCATACCCAAGCCAAGAATGGAAATCACAACTAGTGGATATGGATTTGATCTCTCTTAATATAGATTTCTTTGGTTTGCACTTGTTTGGGAAATGAATGGGTGTAGCTGCTGTAGTTTGCCAAAGACCGATCGTGAGCCTATCACGTCATGTGCTTCTCAGACTATCATAGGACATCAGTGGACAAACGGCGTAACTGATTTAATCACAACGGACGTCAGTCATACAATCGGAATACCAATGTCATGGTTTGTTTCTTCGGGGAAAAACAAAATTTGAGATATTATTAGTAACAGTAATGATAGTTATAAAATAACTATTGGTTATAAGTTCGAGTTGTCAAAAAACCGTGTTGCATACTTTCTCCCAATATTCCGCTCTGCAAATGGTAGTTTTCTGTTTTCTGTTTGTTTCCAGAGTGTTGCACTAGTGTGGTGCGTATTATTGGGCTGATATCATCATATCAGTACTGTAAGGTCATATTCTTAGTTTTTGCATTAACAAAAAGGAATCTGGGAGGGATAGCTCAATAGAGCAGTTCCAGAAGATTGAATCATATCCTCGGAAGAATTTTATCAGATGCAATTATGTATAAAGAACCGTGAACTATAAAGAATGAAGGTCCTTCTATTATGGTCCTTTTATTCGGTGACACAAGATCAGATAATCAATCAAGGTTTTGCATATAAATGTTTCACATGTTGCTTAGGAGAAAGCTCCGCTTTGGGCCCAAAGAAAAGGGAAACCAAGAAATGCAGATGACCCTCAATCTACTATTACTAGTACATAATTCGAGACTCGAGTACTTCGTATCATACTTTGTCCTATGGAACCAACAGAATTTCATCGGTCATTGATGCTTAGCTGATAAATTACTGTGCTCCTGCAAGATACCCTTAACTCCAAAATATCAACAGCCAAGGGAGGCAGCTGAGACTCGAAAGATACAAGTTAAATGTAAGAATGTAAGTGATGAAATATTGTCGAGAAGTTCTCATGACATGAAGGATTGTGCCCTTACCCAGGCCAGCTCCTTAACTGTTTCACCACTGATTTCACCACTGCGAGGAAAACTACTTCAGGGAATCAGGAAATTCAGAATTCAAAGAAATGATCAAGATCACCTGTGCTCGTGAAACTTTGCCATAACTACGCATTTTACAGGATAAGGCTCAGTAGACGCTTAAGGCGCAAAGTGGTCAGAATGGTATCAGCCAGCTTTTGAAGCTGTTTATTTCTCAGTCTTCGTTCATGATAAGGAAAAACGACTAGAAAAAACCGAACCATTATATGGTCTCCGGAACGAGGTAATTAAAGAAGTCTCACACCATAATAAGTGCTAGCGAAGCAACAAAATCTGTTGGATACAATCCTTGATGCGATCAGAAACTCCCTCACTACCTTGCGGAACTGCATGATGTCCAGGGAAACACATTTCGAGGTCGAATCGGTAGAAAATGAGCCGCAATAATAGAGGTACTCAGTGCAGTACTGCTGCTCTTGATTACGTTGATTACATCTTTGCCATACAAAAAAAATGTCTGATTTATTTCATTTCACAACAAGGCTCGCTATGTTTACGGCTTTCGGTTCCGTTCCCCACATAGAAGTCTGTTCTTTCAGTTTTCCTCATTCGATCATTTGAGCTTCCCACTACTATTGCACTTTCGATTCGTGGGGTAGAATCGAGTTTCCGGATCTAGACAACAGAATTCCCCAGGGAATTCGAGTGGGAAAGAAGTTTCAAACATCTAAGTCCAAGAACAGATTGAAAATAAAAAAACAGATAGGGACTCGCGGTTCATCGCGTATATTTTAGAACTCTAGAACGCCCTCCTACTCCGGACACTAATATGTCTGCTAATGAAAACCATATTCTCAAGGAAGGCCAAAACCTTAGAGATCTTAGAGGGTTAGAGAGACCTACTATCTCTTTTTGGATGTAGCTCGATGTGGCTGAGGAAAAAGATGTTTCTTGGTCCATGGTCACCTATTGTTGTATGAAGAAAATGTACCAAATTAAACTTTCCAAATGGGCTCCTTCCTGTAACAATATTCTTTTTTTTTTGATTTTCCACCTACAGCACAGAGCCATAGAGTCACAGAAATTCTGTGCTCTCACACTACAATATTCAGAAATCGTTTTGTGGCTTCCAATTAAACTTAGGCTGTCCGAAAATGTACACACCAAGCAGTGAGCATAAGAAAAAGGAGTCAAATATTAGAAGTTTTGAGTTTTTATAACTTTATCGGCCTGGTATTTCAGAGCTTTATGCTCTGTTCGTAATTTCAGGAAAAATTCCATTCAACTGGGACCAAATACTTTGATTTCAGAAGATAAACGAAAAAAAAATTTACTTTGGAACTGTATGTCTCTGCGGGTACAAAGGTCAGATTTCAAAGGGAAAGTTAAAGCACGTGCAATGAGTGCATTGTTTGTCGACAACTGTAATGACGCCGACGGAACAGCTTATGACTGAGTTCAAGAATTGTCGACAGATAGAAATT